CCACTTTCCCCTTCCTGCTCCGTCTAACTAAAATAGGGGGGAAAAGGAAATGGAGGAGCCAAACCACACGCGAATCACTTGGCCTGGGTGGGCGTTACCTTGAGCTGAACTACCCGCGTGTTTATAGTCACCGTTGTTACACCTGATCAGCGCAAAAAATATTTGTTAGGGAAAAAAAGCCTATATAATAGAGGTACAGGTATGTGGCGTGCACGCACCCATCAAGTTGTCTAGTATTATAAAACAACAAACATTGTAAATGAGATACATTACATTGCATTTAGGCTGACCGCTTTTATCCAAAACACTTAATGGCTAGATACATGGCCCAACCAAATTTTGACATCATGGCAATAACACATAAGATGACTTTAGGTTGCGATTGAACTGATCTTTTTTAATAAATTGTCACTTACACATTTAGGGAGAAAAGAATAAGCTTGTGCTTCACTGAGGATCTTGTCATTCTGACAGGGAGGGCAACTGCAATTATTACACTTCTGTGTTTTGAAATATGTGTTACTCTTAGTTCTATTCATATAAAACCCCACACACTCTCAAACTTTTTTTAATTTTTCCTAAAATTGTTATAATGGTAAAGAGTTGGTTAGTTATTTATCTAATTCTTCGCTTTTCATTAACATAAAATAATCTCACGTACCGCTGGCCGTACTCCAACGTAAGCCGCCTAGGGGTCCGCATAACCGCCCAGTGTTAAGAAACCACTGGCGTAGAGCATGTAAATAGGATAGAATAGAGCCCAATGTACCGGACAGAGGCTCTAGACTCCCTTCCTCGCACCAACGTTGGAATCCCAACCACTTCCTGTAACAGGCTGTGGTTAATCCCGCCCTTGTTGCCTGGATAGTCTGTATAACCTTTTTAGACAGTCCAACCCTTCTCAGCCTGTCCCTCTCAGGAGCCAAGCCTGGAGAGGTTGGCCCAGAGTGGGTAATGCCCCTATTGCACCTGCGGTGGAAAGGCATAGAGCAGCTATCTTGGCCATGGCTCGTGTGCAAACGTGTCCACCCCCAAGGGTGGATTGTCCTGCCAAGCCAGGGAGAACCACCATTTGTCTCCTGACATGAGGCCAGCCCCCTGTTCTCCAGTCCCGGAATGTGGGGGGCCTTTAGAGATAAAAACATTCTCTGAGGCCCACAACCACAGGTTCTCCACTGCGCTCAACAAGGCGGTGGAACTGACTCCGTCCTGCCTCTTGATGTAAGCCACTGTGGTGCGGTTGTCGCACCTCACCAGCACGTTTGCCCTGTAGTAAGGGTTTGAAGTGCTGTAGGACCAGTACTACTGCCCGTAGCTCTAGAAGGTTGATGTGCCGAGTTCTGCCACCACCTATAGCTCTCTCTAGGCAGGCCCCCCCCATTCTGTCCCGGATGCATCTTGAACACCGTGACGTAGGAGGTCACCCGCCCCAGTGGAGTTCCCCTCTGCAGATGCTTTGGGGACCCCCAGTATCGGAGGTTGCCCTCCAC